GCAGAGCGCCATCCAAGTCATCCTGGTACACATGACGATAAACATTTCGGTTAGATGCAATTTCGCTGTACATCAACTGACGCACCAAACCGTAGTTGTGTTCGCCCATTTGAAAAACATCAGCCACGACCCGGAATCCGCAGTTACCATCTCCGACTACATCATTCCACCCTTCCAAGTACGGCATGATGATCGCAGGTATCCTTTCCTTGTACGGAAACTGATCAACATCGTTTCTTCCTATTCACCATATAATTATAGACAGTTAAGAAGGCAGGAGTAACACTTTAAAACTATGTGCAATGTAAACAACCAAAACGTACCAGTTCTCAGGGGCATATTCACAGACGATGAAGATTGACTACGACTAGATGACGATGTCCGACCACGAGCACGACCACGACCAAGACCACGGATATACTCAAACGCACTCCTGTTCCGCCGTTGTCGACCTCGAGGACGGTCAACTCCTTCGGGTTCCTCATAATCTAAGGTAGACGTGTGGAACATGTCATGAAGTACATGAGTAGCGTCACGAATAATAGAAGGATGGCTGGAGGACACTCGGTCGTACATCGAACAAAACTGCTCCAACTCCTCCTGTTCACGGTCGGCCGTTTGAGTGTCTGCATGCTCACCAATAACAAGCGTCCTGCAGAATGAATGGACCTGATCAACATGTAACGACGCCCTTTCTTCTGTAATAACGCAGTGAATGGTGCATGCGCAAGGTAATCCATGAGTTACTGAAATAGCACACCCACACCGAGCATACACTTCGTCAGCCAAGTCCCTCATCCTGTTCAGCTCAGTGAAAATCAACCCCAAGCAGTAGTGCGACACACGACCATGGAGAATCTTAAATATAAAATGGCTATACATCGTACCATGTCGTCGTCTGGAGTCCTCTAGAGAGTTCCTGATGTCGTTCTTCTGAGTTTCAATTGACTTGTTCAGTCTAGCGAACAGTGTATCCAAAGCAGCGGTCGATGAATCAATCCAGTCCTTGGTAGCTCTATGAGCGCTCTCAACTCTACATGTTGTAGTGTTCCCAAAATGAAGTACCTGGTTTGTCCAATATTTGACAAACTTTTCCCTGTGAGGGACCCATTGATGCATCACATAGTCCACCAGTGCCGGACACCACTGGTACGAATCCCTGAAGTTAGCCAATGCTCGCTCATACGCTTCCTCTGTGGTAGCCTGTAGGATCTTCCGCCACTTACCATTCACCAATCTCTCTGCCATTTCCAAATTCTTCTTGAAAAGGTTGTAGGCTTTCACTTTCACGCAGTTGTTGATGTGCCATGTGCACAATAAGTGGTTCGATTCGGGAAACAGCTCTGCTATGGGGGCAAAGAGACCTCCCTCACAGTCGCTGACGATGGCTGCTGGATGAACATTAGGCCCGATGTAGTTTCTCAGCTTCTCCAACACCCAATAATAACTTGGAGCCGTCTCATCCTTGATGATTGCATGACCAATCAGAAAGTTCTGGTTCGTTGGAGTCATCCCCATGATCTCAACCAGTGGGAACTTGTACTTGTTTGTCTAGTACGTTGAGTCGATTAAAATCACAAATGGCCAAGACTTGATTATATCAGCACAATCAGGATGCACAAGGAAAAGATGAGTCACCTCCGCTGTATCTTCATCAGAATCAAACCAGAACAGGTAACCACGTGACTGTGCCTGGTGTAGCAGCTGCTGTATAGGGTTCCTTCCCTCTGACCGTTCAAACCTGAGTTGTTGTATGACGTTGTAGATGTGTCTTCGGTTTGGATGGTCTTCTGGAAATTTCTCTAACACAGATGCTAATATTTTAGCAGGCTTCACTTGAGCATCACTCATTTCTTTCACAACTAGTTTCGCAGCAGGACTTAAGCCGCTCAGTTGTCGATGACCCTCTTCATATACTATCATCTCATGGTTGTGATACCCCCATTTAGAGTTACCAATCACTTCCCAACCGTCACGACTCCGTAGTTGTCGAACCTTTACTCTGAACTCACACCCACAACCTTTCCGCTTTGTATCAAACCGAGTGGCTGTACGAAAATCTCTTTCTTCTCTTTTGCGATAACGGTCACATCTCAAAATGCGATCCATTCTACCATCCCGTTGAGATTTATGAGTTACTACTACCAAGCAAAATCCAGCTGCAATTGCAACCTGTTTTGCCCAATCAATCGCCTGTTGAGCTTCTTCGAATGGACCATCATGTCCAAATATCCCACTGTAATCATTTTCGTCTCCACCATATTCCTGCATCAATTATATATTACAATAAATACATTTAACGGATAATACATTTAATTTCTATATTTACACAGAATTAACACAAAAAAAAAGCATAATTATATATAATCAAACTTAATTTTTATAAAAACCCAATTCGAATTTTCAAACTAAATTTAAAAATATACCATTTCGAATTTTCAAATTTAATTTTAAAAAAACCTATTTCGAATTTTCAAATTTAATTTAAAAAAAACCCATTTCAAATTTTTTTTAAAAATCATTTTCGATTTTTTTTTTTAAAAAAAAATTAAATAAAAAACAACAACAAAATCAAAAAAGAAAAAAAAAATTAATTTATAAGGGTGGCGTCTGCCAGGGCTGCCACAGCCACTGGACTGGCGCCTGGCAGGGCCGCCTCAGCCAGTAGAGTGGCGCCTGGCCAGGACGCCAGTCTGGTGGTCTGGGCGTCTGGGCTGGACGCCACTCTGGTGGTTCTGGCGTCTGGCTTGGACGTCCAGGCTACGGTTTGGGCGTCCATCCTAGGCGCCGGAGCCACTCCGACGGTAAACCGTGAATTTTAACGGTGACTTACCTCGTTTTCCGTCGACGACGACGTACCTCCGGCGTCCCCCGCATCTCCGGCCTGCCCTCCGGTCTCCCCCGGCGAGCCAGTACGGCTCCACATTTTTTACACCGAGATTATTTCAATTTTAGAAAATGGGCATAATGGTCAAACCATATCATATTTGTGGGCTTTATATGGTAAATTGCGGGCGATGTTTAGCGTTTCACTATAAAATCTACCCTGTAATGAATGAAAGTTACTTATGTTTTATTGATAAAAGTTACCCAAAATAGTCTACAAGTTATCCTAAATTGAATTCAAGTAATCTGTTGAATACAAAAGTTTTTGATAAAGATACAAAATAGTGTAAAAATTACTTTTATCGTTTGTTGTACACCTTGACAAATACTGAATGCTGAGCCGAAATGTTGTCTTGGAATAAAATACATAATCTTGAACAAAAATTTAATTTTAATCGGCCTTTCATTTTCTATACAATGTCTTTTACAATGACCTTTTGTTTTTCTTGCATTAAAAAAAAAAAAAAACTGAACCATTAACCAATCTAAACAAGAAGAATAAAAGTTAAATTGAATTAGACATTTGACGGAAAAAGGATAGATATAAAATATATTATAACTATTACTCGTGTTTTAAATTGTAATATTCGTATTAACAATGCTATTACTTATGAATTTTTTATAGAAAAACTAACATTTTGATTTAAAAATAGTGCATTGCTCATGTACTATACCAGATATACAACAATCATGTGCAATAATTTATGTTGTATTATACATAATAATACTTTTAACTATAATAGTATGTGTATATAATATAATATTTTTTATAATATAAAAAAGTAATATTTTATAACACGTGTCCTCCATACCAAGTGTTTGTTTGTTGGTGTAGTGGTGATTGTGACTACACTTGGTAGGGAGGACCTGTGTTTGCTCCCCTGCAACAACAATCGAAAGGGGATTGGAACCTAATAGCCTAGAACAGATCCTCAAATCTGGATTAGCCCAAAGGGTGAAGCGGATAGAACACCCAAAACTCAATGCATATATGACGGGAATTAACTTATCCAAAATCTATCTTATACAAAACTCCAAAGTCTAAATTTTTTTTCAAAATATAATAATAACATTTGTAAATTTTTGTTAATATGAAAGATATAAACCTATCAAAATGTATCTATAGTTAAATTGTTTAATAACTTATATCGAATGCGTAGTTTTATTAAAATTATTTGCATGTAATCATTAAATGTGTTGGATGTTGTGTAGCTATGCAATGTCCAAAACTTTAGTTGAGTGACTTTGATTTAGTGATTGTACGGTTAAAAGATATTGACTTCGATCTTGAAACCTAATAGTCTAATAAATTCTAAATAGAAAAATTAAAACAAAAGGAAATGAAAATAGTAAATGGCTATAAATATTGAAATAAACATAACCTTTTAAATCAATTTAGCGAATTCAAGAGACAATTTTAAGGCTTTTAAAATTAAATGGGGGAAAATATATGTAAAAAGAACATTTTTAGATATATAAATGTCCATGCACTATTATAAGAGTTTTGTTAACCATTTTATAATTAAGGTAGGGATAAATCTTAGTAATATATACTTTGTATATTTTATTTATATAAAATTATCAGTATCCATACCTATATACGAAATATTTGTGTTGTATACTATATTTAATCAGTTGTTGGTTATATATATGACTATTATATAATATATAGTTTTTGGCACAATGCTTAACTTAGGAAAATATATGTTCTGGTAGGTCAAATATAAGGTTATTATTGTGTCTATAGATTGAATGAGTGCGACGGATAAATAAAACATGTATATATTAGATTGATTGTAGTTACTGATGCGAATGGTATGATAAGAAAATTTTAGTTTTTTCTCAATGGGAGATATAAATAAATTAGTCCACTTCTTATATAGCTATGTAGAGTATTATTCAATTATTTTTCAATTAATAAAATAACATTATAAAAAATTAAAAAAAATTCAAATAACATAAAATACTATTCAAATAACGTTTCTTTAACTTTTTTTTTTATTGACAATTAGTAACCAAGTCCTTTAATAGTAAATGAATTACCTTTGTTTTTATTTTTATTTTTCCTACGGGTTTAATAATTTGATTTATAAATCGTGCATCGCACGGGCACTATGCTAGTGAGCAACTATATCTTCACTACTTATACTCATGGTATTTCTCTCTTCTTTCTTGTTCCCTTGGCTTTCTTTTTACACAGGTACGTTATCAATCATTCCATCAAGAAACTCGTCAATTACTACCTCTGTTCGGATTTAGTTGTCACATTATTATTTATCAAGATATTTTTTTATTGGATATGAACAGAAAAACTCCACCTCCTCCCCTTGGATGGTCTATAATTATGAGGCTTTTTCTCCTTGGAGCTGAGTTCTCAAGTTTGTATTTTTAATCTATGTTTCTCTTCTATGGTTGATCAACTTAATATTGAAATTAATGAAATAATGATTATTTAGATTATACTAATCTTCAAAATTATTGAAAATATGTATTAAAAATGCAGTTGTGGATGCTCCATCTTTTTGTTTGTTGGAATACGATATAGCTCACCAACTCTTGCATCGGCAATAAATAATCTTTCCCCTGCTTTCACATTCATCATAGCCATTATTTTGAGGTAATTAATTTCGAATATTTGATACATTCTAGCTAATTTCGTATCTTTGGTTGGGTAGAACATCTTTTTCATGACTAACAACATTATGGCATACTAGTATTCTTGCTTAAAGTCATTACTTTATCTGCCACAGTATTCTTTGTTTCCTTTTTTCCTTTGCTTGTTTAGTTCGTTTAATTTTTCTTAGTCTATTGCTTGTGTTCAACTTCTACCCCTCCACGGCTCTATCTCACCCAAAAAAAAGGTTTTATACCACGTATAAACTATAAAGTACTAGCATGAAGTATTTTGTATATACCATTCATTTTCATTGGTAAGTTGGTGCGAAACTAACCTTTTGACTTTGAGATCATGAGTTCGAGTTCAACCAACCAGGGGCGGAGCTAGAAATTTTTTATTAGGGGGGCCAAACTTAATTAGTATATATACTAATTTTTGTAATGTCAAAAAGAGTGAGACCAATTCAAGTATTAAAAAGAAAATTTTTTAAAAAAAAACTAAGTAATGAATATATTTGAAAAAGGGATTCTAATGTTCTAGAGTAGCGATATAATCTATTTAATACGAGATAGTAAAAGAAGTAAAACATTAGTAGTATAAAAAAAAAAAAAAAAAAAAAAAAAAATGCAAGGGATGGGGTTTGAGCTTGGGATCATCTTGAAATTGCCTATAACTCACTTATCTACCAACTGAGCTATGGTATAACTAACATAAAATGCTGCAACAATTAATAGATAATTTAAACCAAGGGGGAGGCCCTAGCCCACCCTAGCCCCCCTTGGTTCTGCCACTGCAACCAACTACATTTGCTTGGGAGTAGGGGGATTCCCTCATCCCCCTCTATTCTCAAAATCTCAAGAGTTGATCTACAGAGCTAAGTTAGTTGTACCTGTGAAAGATGTCACTTCAGCAGAGTCCTTCCTTCATCTTACCTTTAATAAAGGAATAAATAGTAGAAAGTTATAGTCAAAGTATGCTACATATATAAATTAAATTATTGTAAATTAGTCAACCTTATTTAATTTTTCATTGAATTGATGGTTTTTCAAATATATGTAGGATGGAGATGATAAATTTTAGTGCACGAAGTAGCACACTTAAGTCGATTGGAACAATAGTCTCAATCATTGGAGCATTCATAGTGACATTCTACCAAGGACTACCAATCATATTTTTCTCTTCACCAAACAAGCTATTGCTCCACTCCTTATTTGAAACTCAACCAAATTGGGCCGTTGGAGCGCTGTTGCTTGCCACTAGTAGCATTTTTCTATCCCTCACTTATATTGCAAAGGTAAGATAATTCAATCTTTACACGTTATTAGGTATGACAAATGGACAATATTAAATAGATATCCGCTAATCCGCTCTACATGTTTTAAATAAATGGATAAAAATTCGAATTAAATGGATGAGAAGTGGGTGACGGATGAAACGGGTGATGGATCGGATCGGATGCGGATGGGGATGCAGATGATATTTTATTTCACCCACTAACCATCTTCCTACCCGTTTAAAATATATTTAAATTTTTATCTAAGAATTTTAATAATAAAATATAAAATGTGCAAGATTTTTTTTTTTTGTTGCAAATTGATTTTTTCAAACTTCCTCAAATTTAAAAAAAATTAAAATTAATTTTATCAAACAACATGTTTTATAGTGTCTTTTTTTTTATTAATAAAAAAAAATACGAAAATTAGACTTTATGTGAAGTTTTTTCACTTTAACTACTTCAACCATTAATCATTTGCTCAACACCCATTTCATTTGCATATGATGGACGAACGGATATGGATGATGGGTGAAGCGAATGACGGGTGAATATGGATGAGCGAATGGAATAATGGATGAATGTGGATGAGCTCCACCTGCTTCGAATCAGATCCATTGTCATCTCTACGCGATACACACATACACTAAAACAAAAATAGGCTTTTAGATAATTATTACTCTCTATGTACCTATTTTTTGTGCCATTTGACTTTTTATAGTTTCAAGATGCATTTTAAAACGTATATACCTTCATTTTTATACGCATAAAAATTATAAAACTTGATATTAATAAACTATAATGAGACAAATTTAACAAAACCGCACATGACTATATTATTTCTTGTTGATTAATGAAAATTTATGGTTATAGTTTTTGAAGTTTGACCCATTTTTTTACACTGACGCAAAAAAATAGGGTTAGATGAAGTAGTTTGTAAGTTTGTATCATATGAAGTATACCATTCCAAGTTTTTTTTTTTTTTTTTTTTTTTTTGGCTATTCACACCTTTTAATGATGACATTTTACAGTTTTATCCCCTATACAACACAAAAGGGCATATTTTTGCATACATGAATTCTTAAGTTTGCCAATTGCAATCTCATCTTTTCACTCGCTCTATCATTTCTTTTTTAAAATCTTGTGTAAAAAACGTGTTACTTACAATACAATAAGGAACAAAGGTAGCTAGTAATTATAGTATTTTTCTTTGTGTAAAAAACATGTTAATTACAATGTTTTTTTCAGACTTGGATTGCTAGAGATTTCCAATCAGAGGTGCTAATAACACTAATAAGCTGCTTCTTTGAGACAATAGTGGCAGCAATCGTTACTTTGATTGCAGAAAATGATGCAAGTGTTTGGACACCAACCATTAATATCGAAATGATTGCTATTTTCTTTGGGGTAATAATTCAAACTTATAGCAAGATCATCATGTTAATAATCTTCCTAATTAAAGAACCAAATTAAATTAACAAAATTAATACTAATTGGTGTTCGTTAAAAATGATATTTTAACAGGCTTTCGATGTTGGTATAGTAAATACCGTGAATACTTGGGCATGCAGAGTTAAGGGACCAGTTTTTGTGGCTATGTTTAAGCCACTTCAAATGATTATTGCTGTTAACTTGGGTGTTTCTTTTCTAGGAGATGTTCTTCATGTTGGGAGGTACAATCACTAATTTTTTTCAAATTCAACTATTTCAACTTATTATTACTTAGACGTTAAATGGGTAACATAAAAGAGGTTCCCGTCCTAAATTAGGTAAGAGATCATAAGACGTAACAATTGCTGGATACCCCTTTTAAAATGGAAACACCTTTTTAAATTGATCCTTTTAATAGTTTATTTTTATAGTTTATATGTACCGACATGTGACAATTGTCTAAAACACTATAGATTTTATAATAAAAAACGTGTATCTAATTAATCTTTCTAAGCTTATATCCTGTGACATACTTGGTACAATGTATCATAGTGAAATGCTGAACTATGAAAAAAATGTTTATCATATAGTGTAATTGGAGGAATAATCATAGCTTTGGGATTCTACACCGTAATGAAGGGGAAAGCCGAAGAAGAAACGTTCAAGGAAATTGATGAGAATAGATGCAATGAAGAGGAGATATGTTCTCATAAAGTCCCTATGTTGCAGAACAGAAGCATAGATGCATAAAAATTACACGAGGTTATCCAATTATTGAGTGATTCAATATTTCAATTTAATGTTTGGTCAACAAGTGTAGCAAATTGTTCCTTCAAAAAAAAAAAAAAAAAAAAAAAAAAAAAACACTAGTGTAGCTAACTGTAATTAACCACAAAATTGCATTATTTGTGACCAAATAAAGGGTAATAGTTTTTTTTTTTTTTTTTTTTTTTTTTTTTTTTTTTTTTTTGTGCAAACGAGGGGTAGAGCCCCGGGAACTAAAACAAAAGGCCAACTGTTCAAAACCCCCTTATGGCACCGGTTTTGAACCGGTGGGCATTTGGGGGGTGGCAATAGCTTCTTTAAAAGCCACCTGTTCAAAACCGGTGGCAAAAACTATTATTGCCATCGGTTAACCAGTGGCATTATATATTATTGCCACCGGTTAATACTCAATTCCCGCTTCTTTTTTTTTTGATATTAAATTTAATGCCACCGGTTAATCGGTGGCAATTCTCCCATATAATTTTTTTTTATTCACTTGAAATACCAAACAATCAAACAAACAAAAAAAAATTCCAACATCAAAATATAAATCGAATATCATATTATCATTCAATATATATAATCGAAAACTTACAACATATAATCAAAAAAATAATTTACAATGTAAATCAATATAATTGAAGTATCGAACAATTACAACATATAAATAAATAAAAAATACAATATAAATCAAAAAAAAATTACAACATAAAAAAAAAAAAAAAAAAAAAAACCATACAACATCTAAATCAATATTCCTAAATCTATTCTTCGATTTAAGATCTAAATCAATATACATGCATCAATTAAAATAAAAACAAATAAATTGATTAAAATATATAAGCTGAAAAAAAAAAAAAAAAACAGAACACTAAAACCCAGAAGATCGAATTATACCCAGAAAAAAAAGAATGTACCCATAATTAAAATCGAATAAAACCCAGAAGATCGAATTAAAATCAAATAAAAATCGAATTAAATCGATTTTAAAACTCAAAAAATTCGATTTAAAAAATCCAGAAAAATTCGATTGAAAACCCAGAAAAATTCGATTTAAAAACCAAGAAAAACCTAGAAGAAATCAAATAAAATCTATTAAAATCAAATTAAAATCAATTTTAGAACTCAGAAAATTCGATTTAAAAAACCCATAAAAATTCGATTTAAAAACTCAGATAAATTCGATTTAAAAACCAACAAGAATCGAATAAAATCGAATAAAGATCGAATTAAAATCAATTAAAATCAATAGAATTAAAATCAAATAAAAATCGATTAAAATCAAACCATAACCTCTATAAAAGTCGGTGTTGCTCATGCATGTGTTCGTGGTGTTATCGTAGCGGTGGTGGTGTTATTGTTGCGGTGGTGATCTTGGTGGTGGTGGAAAAATTGGTGGTGGTGGTCGAGGAGATGAGAAAGAGAAGGAGGAGAGGATGAAGGAGAAGAGGGGAGAGGGGATCGGAGCTGATCAAGGAGGAGAAATGGTAGGGTTTGGGGGTATATAAAGGGTCGGTTTTTATTTATATTAGAAAGCCACCGGTTTTGAACTGGTGAGAATAATATTTTCCCCACCGGTTTGGTTTGAACCTGTGGCAATACTATCCCTGCCCATTTTTCCCCTGTTTTTGTCACCGGTTCTTAAAAATCGGTGGCAATTGAGCGGTGCCTTTTTGCCTTTTTCTACTAGTGCAAAGTAAAAAAATTAACGGTGTACAAACCATTGCATAGCAACTCCTACCACATCATCATATAAAATTCTTTCTAATTCTAAAGGAGGGACTTGAATCAACTCTATCGGGTTGTTCTGCAACACGATTAGTTTCACGATAAATATGATGCACTTCAATTGTCCAACTGCTGTCTTCCAAGAGGTTCCTGCATTTATTAATAATATGCACACACTCTCCATTATACGACATTGTATTATTAAGCACCATCACTTAGGCTTGACTATCAAGTTGAACTTGCACCTTCTTAATTCTCATCCTTGCAGCTAGGCCCATACCATACTCTAAGGCTCGAGCTTCTACCATAATGGCCCTACAGGCACCCAACTTTAGAGAGAAGGCATACACCATCTAACCCGTACTGTCCCTATTCACACCCCCACCTCCAACAGGCCCAAGGGCACCCTTGGCTGCTCCATCAGAATTCAGCACCATCCACCCTTGAAAGGAAGCAATCCATTTAACAAAAGCTTCAGTTCCCACCCTCTATACTCGATTTATATTAACTACATCATCACCCTCTGTACTCGATTTGTATCAACTATATCAATCGGGTTCTCATTTTCTTTCCCAAATGCTACTACATTATTATTCCTCCATCTCATAGCCACCCGAGCACCCTCATACAAGGTTGCAAAATTCTCCGTTATACCTCTCCAAACATTACACATATTCGCCTTAGATTCAAACATGTCTAATTCACATCTTCCTTTGCAATATTTGGCTCTTATTACTTTAGATCAAAGGGCATTTGGTTCGGTCAAGACTCTATATCCTAATTTTGTCAAGAAGGCAGCATTTGTTTGACGAGCTGAATGAATAGTTAGTCCACCTTGATCCTTTGGGAGTTATAAAGTTTCCCAGGAAAGCAAGTGAATACGATTCCTTTCCTCATTGCCTCCCCAAATAAATCTGATCATCATTTAGCAATATCGTCACAAAATGTTTTAGGGATTTTTACCGTTTGCATAGCATAAGAGCTCATGGTCGAGATAGTAGATTTTGCAAGAGTTATTCTTCTTGCAAGAGAAATATATTTGGACTTCCAATCTGCCACCCTTCTATCCTCTTTTTCTCATAAATAAGCAAAAGTGTTCCTAGTAACTTTGCTTGTTATCGTAGGCATTCCAAGATAGGTCCCCAAGTCCTCAGTTTCAACCATATTAAAACCACTTCAAATGCTCAATTTTTAGCAAGATCAACATTAGGGGAGAAAAAAATTTGAGATTTTGTATTACTTACTTTCCGGCCAGAACCTCCACAAAAATGGGTTAGGACACTTTGAATTGTTGCAGCCTGACTAGTAGTGGCTTCTGCGAAAAGAATGATATCATCGGCAAAGCAAAAATTTGAAAGCTTTGGACTGTTCTGTTGAAGCTTTGATCGACTAATAGTGAGTGTTTGAATTAGTTATGTAAAAAGTCTAAAAACACTAATTTTATATGACAACAGTCTTCAGCACCTCGTGCATATAGTTATAGATACTTCGTACTTCAAAGTGCTTGGTGGTATATTTGTTTTTTTTTATTATTTCATCTTATTTTATTCATTTTAGAAAAAATAAGTTTAATATGACGCTTACACCATTAACATAAGATTAAGCATAGTCCTATTAAATAAAAGTAATGGTTTGATTTGTCTCAATGTATGCTTTGACCAACATTTATGCTACAAACATAGTCACATGAGTACTTGCTAGAAGCCTAGAATAGTTTTAAACTTTCAATGGAGCTGATCATGACTAGGTTGCTCATAATGCATGAGTAACAAAAGTTGTAACTTAAATGGCAATGTGGCAAACATTTGTCTTGGATTTCGCAAATAATAATTTTTTAATTGTGTTGAGTTGTATGGCATGTAACGATTGCACACGAGTGACGGAGTGACGACGTTTGAATTTGCATATGAAGGGTAACTATGAGCGATGGAGCAACGGTGTAAGAATTTGCTGGTGAAGGGTAAAAACGAAGCCCGATAAGACACTGGGTCAGCACCTGGAGCAAACCTTGAGGAATTTCGATCACCGCCAAATTTTGAGTGTTCACTAAGAAAGCGACGGGAAATTATTGGGCTTGTATATCTATTGCAGTAGTCATACTTGTTTCGAGCTTGTAGATCTGTTGCAGTAGCAGCATGGATGTACAAGCTATACTAGTTATCGCCATATCATCTTCTTCCTCTTGCAACCATTTTCGGCGAGGTTAACCCCAAAAGGTAGGGGTGTTGTCTACTTGTCTTCTTCTACTAAATTTTCCCATTGAACCATTATTGTGAGTTCCATTGAAAATCGATTCCTCTAACAACCGTTTCTATGATTTACCATCAGTTTCTACAAAAAAAATTGCCCTATTTGGCCCTTACTAACGCCATCGAAAATTACTAGCATGCTCTTTGAGTAACTTGGATATATCGTTTCAATATACTATTTTGAACTATCAAATTTTAATACTATGTAAATAATTTATTCTTATTAACTGATAATATATATATATATATATATATATATATATATATATAGGGAATAATTTCAAGCCTTAATCCCACTAGCTTGAACCCCACTGTGATCATACACTAAAGTACGGTGGCGTTCAAAAGGGAAGAAGATAGAGCAAAAGAGTCGCCAACAAGTTTTTTAGGAACTTGTAATCCGTTCACGAGGTGAAGGTTACACCCCTTAACGATCCAAGTGATCGTCAACTCCATAAGGTCTAGAACCAAATAAAGGGTTCGGGGATGAAGGTACAAATCCAACCTAAAAGAGATTGAACCTGCCCTAATAATAGGCCTCTACTTTATTCTGATCGTATTCATGTGCGCTTTCTGACTAACATGCAATCAATAGTATTAACCCTAAACCTGTTTAATCTACGTTGGTTGAATATTAATGCACAAATAAACTATTATTGGCGATCACTGGAATTATAATCATAATTAACCTAACAAGATTATTAATTATCTTATTAAGCGTGATTACAAGTACAAATTCCCTTTAAACATGCATAAAAGATGTGATCAAGCAATAACAATAAATCATCAGGCAACATAATAAATAATAAATCATCATGAATTATAACAATATAATAATCATAATAATAATAATCATCATGAATTATAACAATTATAATCATAATCATGTTCATGTTAATATAAAATAGCAAGATTCTAGGCATGATACTAACAAGATTAATAACAAACCCTAGCATGTCACTAAGCAATAAAAATCAAATTTTTAACCCTAACATGATACTAACAATCATAAATATTAGGAAGAATATAGGAAGCATCGTAACAATCATATTTAATATTAAAAATACCCTAAACATGATACTAGGAATATCATAATAACAATGTAAACATGATTTCTACATCATAACATCAATCAAAAACATTAAAGTACTTACTTTGATGCCTCGTACCTCATTCTAATAACAAAATACACACGTTAGTAACTTCAAGGAAAATAATAAAAAAAACAATTAAATTAAATAATTGAAAGAGAGATTTGGGACCAAACCCTCAGAAATTAAAACCTTTCACGTCTAGGGCGAAGGAAACTTCGAATATGGCTAGGTGTTTCTAGATCTCGTGAATGCGGAATTTTGTATGAAAAGCAATTTTTAGAGAAAGAAAGAAAGAATGATGAATGATTAAAGAATACTGATTGTAGATGAATGTAGATGAGAATTGGTGAATGAGGAGAATTGGTGTCAATTGGTGAATGAAAACGGAGTTTTTAATACGATATTTATAGAGAAAATCAGCCAAAAAGATAAAATAAACAAAACAGAGTCTGACGCACAAAAAACAGAGCAGGCGCCAACCCTGGCTAGCTGGCGCCAGGCACCAACACTAACGCTAGGCGCCAATGGCTAGCGCCAGGCGCCAGGCCTGGTTCCAGGCGGCAAGGCCTGGGGTTAGGCGCCAAGCCTAATTTTAACGCATTTTCG